CACTTGTCCAACTTAGCATTTGTCTTCTAACAGTTTAGCAAGGAAGACAGCTATGAAAGTAGTTGATCACAGTGCAGTGCTATGAAATATATATAAGTCTACCCTAGAACATTTGTCTCTTGGGAACCAGTCATCAGGTCACTTTCTTATTTTACAGAACTATAAAACTAGGTGGAAGGGGGGGCCCTGTTCTCTAATATAAGGACAGAATGAGTGGACAGTGCTCGTTTGACTTCTTGCACTGTGGGTTTGTCACTGAGCATGAAATACCAGGGCTAGCATTATGTGGTGTGACCTGGGCTTAGAATGTACAGTGCTTGGTTTAATGCTCTACCCTGTCCTGAGGTTGTTAATATCAGGTCACAGGAAAAGTCAAGATGCATTTTTACATAGGAAAACAGAAGAAATCTGTCATGTCTTTTCCAATAACCCAGTAATTTTTGGATAAGGGGCCTCACATCTTCGTTTTGTATGAGGTTCCTTAAATTACAGGAGGGAGCTTCATAGAAAAATGAAACTAAAGTGAAAGTTTATTTTGGTGCAAAAGTTTTGAAATCCAAGCATAGTTTTTTATAATATGAATATCCCATGAATGTATGGAAGATCTCTCATACATTCTGCTAAGAGTGCTGTGTCTGTTGACGAGGATGTGTATGGTGGTCTCAACTGGGCTGGACTGAGGTGTATATCATGCTGGGTAAAGTCTCTTCACAATCAAAAAAAAAAAAAAAGAGTGCTGCATCACCCAGTTTGAGGGAGTTGGGCTTATGGGACTGAGTTGAGGATCCAGGGTGACAGTGAGTGCTGGGAAGTGGAAGAGAATGGTTGTACCAAGAGTGTCTATGGAGTGCTGGCAGGTGTCAAGAGACCTTCTAGCCAAATTGTTCCAGCATGAGATTATAGCGGTACCTTGACTCCCTAGCCTTAGCACATATTTTAATCCTTTTTATTGATTGTGTGGTCTACTATAGTAGTTTCTTAGGACTACTATAACAAACACCAATGGCCTAAGCTATAGAATTGTATTCTCTTATAGCTCTGGAATCTGGAAGCCCAAAATCAAGGTGTTGTCAGAATTAGATCTTTCTTGAGGCTCTGAAGAGAATCTCTTCCATGCCTCTCACTTCAGCTTCTGGTGCTTCCAGAAGTCGTTAGAGGTCCTGGGCTTAGAGATGCCTAACGGCAACATCTCTGTAGCTCACCATGTACATGGCATTCTCCCCTATGTGTCTGTGTCCCTATCCAAATGTCCTTCTTATAAAGACAGCAGTCATATGTGATTTAAGGCTCACCCTAACCAAGCAGGACCTCATCTTAATCTGATTACATCTGTGAACACCCTATTTCTAAATAAGGTCTCATTCACAGTTGCTGGGTAAACATAAAATTTAGGGAGCCTCTATTCAATCTACTACAGCTACTGATAGACTTTTAGTAAATTCTTTTTCTGTTAAAGTTATCCAGAATCTTTTGTTATGTCTTACTCTGAACCTTGATGAGTATAAGTACATTCTGCAGATAGGAAAAAAAATATTTTTGAACAAAGTTACATATGACCTGGTAAATAACAAGTACGAATTAAGCAGAAAAAAAAAATAGAGTAAGTAGGTAGAACTCCATACTGACATGCAAAGGTATGGAGGCTGAAGGATAGCAAGCAAATCCTCTAGATGTTCAAATATTTAGTATGTAGAGAGGTTTGGAAGAACTGGGAGCTGAGGCTGGGGATTTTGGAGACAAGGAATGAAGAGATATAAAGAGTCAAGGCAAAACCAGCATCAGTTGCTTGGATGTTATCCACAGGCAATGGGAGCCATTAACAATTTTTACATGAAAATGACATGCATAGATTTGTGTTTCCACAAGTTCTCTCAAGCAGCTGCTGTAAGATACCTGTAATAAGGGTCTGTTGAAAGTGGCTACATTTAAAAAAAAAAAAAGATGTAGTCTAGGAGACAGTATAGTATAAAGTCAGGGCAGCAGAAATAGCAACATGGGAGTTGACTATATCCAGCCTCCATGGAACTGATGTTCATCTAAATGTAGGAAGTGAGAGTGAGGGACTAAGAATGACTACAAAAATGCATAGTAGTGTTCTCATTCTCTGAGATATTAATCTGCTAACTAACAATGACTCATTTAATGAACATTTCTTAACCATCTGGGAATTTAATCTTTCTGTAAACTTGACCCTATTGACATTTGGGGCCAGAAAATTCTTTGTTGTGTGTATAGGAGTGTTCTATAAATTGTAGGATATTTAGCAGCACCCCTGCATCTACCCATTGTATGCCAATAGTAACCCTCTAATCTTGGATGAGACAATTGGAAATGACTCCAGATACTACCACATGTTTCTTGGGGGTAAAATTACCCCTGGTTGAGAATGACAGGGTTAATAGGTAGTGGAGCAGGTTTAGGGTAGAGAAAGATGAATCCACTTTTATAATTTCTAAGTTTGTGATGACCAGGGTACATCAAGTTGGAGAGGTTTATTACTCAGGTGGAAATGGAACCTGAAACTCACAGGAAAGATCTAGGCTGTAGATACAGATTTCAGAATACCACGTTTCACTGGATAATTGAGACTAGAGTAAATGCAAGATCACCCAAATAGTTTAAGAGCAAGTCAAGAGAGAGACAACCGGAATCCCTACCATCCAGAGCTAATAAGAATGGAGGACACTGAGCTCATTGAAGGGGGCAAGAAGGACAGCCTGAAAGCCTTTCTCTTTTCTCTATATCACTTTGCAAATGTATATTTGCACAACACTTCCACTTTATTATTAAACTACAGAAAGGGGGGAGGGAACAAACAAGAAAATGGTTAGGAATCCAAAGCCAAGATTTAAGCTACTTTCGGAATTTGGTAAATGGCTGTGGATAAGTCATCTGTCTCATAAGTAACTTGGTTACAACATTGTTTTTTTTGTTTGTTGGTTGTTGTTTTTTTTTTGTTTGTTTGTTTTTTTAATTTGTCAGAAGCATACATGCTTACCAGAGAGAGCCAGAAAGTAAGAGATAAAGAAATAGAGAAAGCACTCCCTAAGGGGGATGGTCATGCCATAATCACTTCTCTTCCATTTCTCTTCCCTTTCGGGATTTTAGGTATGCATACAAATGTACCCAGTATATTTTCAAGCCCTAGATCTGGAACTCAACCATGCAGTTGGGTATATAGGATTCAGTAACCTTAACATCATGCTACCCACTGACCCAAGGTTACAACATATTTAATACAGTGATCTATTGATCTGTCTTCTTTCTGAAAAGGGCATTAGAAAAAAAATGCCATAAGAGTGTACTTTTTAAAATTTTTACTAATGTGTTCATATTTTGTAATACTGTTGAATGTTAAAACTTCAAAAATATTCAGTCATTTTAAGGTTTTTAACCTTTTAAGGTGAATAATGTAAAAAGAATTAAAATCTCATAGAGAGTCTAGGTGATACAGCAGTAAAGTGAGACACCATATGAGACAATCTCACTTGGGGAGGTTCCTGGTTCAAGTCTGAAACCTTGAGTACATCAGGCACATTCACACCCACGAGCTGGGGTTGGCTGTAGGCCGGGGGTGTATTATGGTGCTGGGACTCTGTTGGGAGATCTGTCCTTCTTGCTCACGGAAGAAATAAGAAAATCTTTAGAGAGTTAACTACTGGATAATGATAGACCCTCCTCCCCCCACCAAATTGCCATAGAAACTAAGACCACTAACTGACTTCACAAAAATTAACCTTTAATCAACACTGTGAGTAAAAAGTCCCATTTTCATTAACTGAATGAAGCTTTTATTTTATTGTCCTTTTAAATTCACACAAGTCATACATGAATATGTTATTGTTGTAAAAGATTCAAACCACACAGAACTATTTAGCAAAAAACATGACTGTCCCATTTCTCCAGTTTGCCACTCCCTCCTCTTCCTCCTCCTCTCCCCAGTTGGAACAATTCTTGACTGTTTGGTGTTCAACCATCTAGTCCCCAGTGCTAGACACCGAGTGTACACAGTGAATGTGCAGTTGTTCTGCAACTTGCTTTTTTCCCTTCCCAGATCTTGAAGATGTGAAAGAACCTTTAGCACCACATAAACAGAACAAGGTTTTCTTTCGATAGAAAGTGAGTTAATATAATTAAATCGATCAAACATTTATCACAGAGAATGACAATGACTACATAACCGATAATTCAGCTAGCTGATGTAAAGTCTTTGGAACCCCTCTGTAAGAATTTGGTAGAAAGGATACTGAATTTTAAAGTCTCAATATTTAGATTTTATTACTACAGAGGCAAAAAAAAAATACTGTCCTTCATCTCATAGCAACAAGAGACCAAACTATCCTATTTTATCAAAATAATTTCTTCATTATGTGTCAGACATGTTTAGAAGTAAGATAATGATATTGCCTAAAATGAGAATCCTAGAAACAAGGCAAAATAATCATTTTCTTTTTTTTACAACAAAAACTTAGCACATTTCTTATACTCATTATTTCTTTGCCTTATCCTTATGAGGAGAGGCCTGCAAATATTTCCTAATGAGGAATTAACTTGGCCAAGAAGGAGTCTACATTGGCCTGACAATTTCTGTTTTTGCTCTGTAATCCCAGGGAACCCTTATATGACAGGGCAAACAAGAATATCTACAGTGAGGATAGCTCTAGTAATCTGATAGGTGCATCTATAGAATATAATCATGTTAACATTAAGCCTTTTATACCTCACCATTAATTTTCATCCTTAAGCTATCCTGGCCACATTGCTCATCATCTTAATACAAGCATGGAGTATTTTCATAACATCAGAGAAATTGTCTTTGTTTATTCCACATTGAGGAATTCTTCCTAAATAAGACTAACAAAGTTTATTTTATTACTAAGTGTTATTTATTGGATAATTCCAAGCAATAAATTTGCTGCTGCTTTCTGACTATATTCCCTCTCCGATATTATTTTTCTTTTATATGTAGTCAAATCTTTCATCCAGACTCTATTACTCACCGCTTTGGACATCAGTTTTCTCCTTGTTAATGAAATAAGCTGCTCTTAGTACCTCTTTCCCAAGTTAGTACTGAATGCTTGCATCGAAGTATGAACAGGAAGAGGACTGACTGGGGATCCAAATGTCTTAGGTCAGTGTCCCAGTTCCACTCCCACTTTCCAACATGTGACTTTTGGGCAAGTCATTTGTCAGCTTGAGTTTCTTCATCTGTGAAAATAAGGGAGAACACAACAAACGCAACTTACATCTTTGGGCTTGTTTTGAGAATTAACTAAGTGACTTGTAAACTATACACATTACATAAGTAGAAATTATCTAAGTGCCAGGTGCAGCCTAGGTGCTCAAAAAACATTTTAAGATGATGGTTGAACTAATAACTTCCTGTCATTGTTTGCTTATACAAGATGTCTCACACAGTAAGGGAGACAAGATTTGAAGTGAATTTCTTTTTTTTAACCTTGTTCCTGTCCCTTTCCCTTAACTTTACCTATCTCGGATGTCAGTAAATAGATGCAGACAAGTCTCCTGTGACTCCATCTAAATCTGCGATTTTGCCATTCTGGGCCAAACCAAGTGATCCACAGTGACAGTAGATATAGTTTTCAACAGGAGTTCACCAGAGCCTCTGTTCTAGAAATCTGATCTTTAATAAGAGAGACAAATTCTGCATATATGCAGTTAATCTATGTGGAGTCTATTAACGACTGTGCTCTAGAGAGAAACTTCTTGAATCACTGCAGCTAATATTGATTCCTTTTATTCCTAAATCCCATTGTTTTGTGAGATAAATTAAAAATACCTACCTCATAGGGTTTTATTTATTTATTTATTTTGCTTGTTTTTGAGAGGTTTTTCCTATAGGGTGCATGCACTCACCAAAAAGAGAGAGATAGGACAGAAAGCGAGAAATCACCCCCCAGGAAGGATGGCCACACCACTATCCCTTCTCCTCCATTCTCCTCTCAGGATCTTGGGCATTCATACACACATGTCCAACGTGAGTTTAAACCACCAGGTCCAGGACTCGAACTGTAGTCGACTACATGGGAGTCCAGCGACATAGCCATTATGCCAACTGCTAGTCCCCCTCATAGGGTTTTATGGTATGCTTGCAAAGGTGCCTAAGATTCAGGAATCATTCAATAAGTATTAGCCATTATTTTTATTAAAAGGCATTGTCCAATCCCTAGCATATAGCATGATATTCAGAAATATTAATTATGATTAATTATATTCTACTTATATAGCTATTATAAGAAACAAATTAACTAATTAATATATGTAATGCACTTAATATAGTAACAAGCATGTAGTTAGTACTTAATAATTATTTGCTATTATTTGAATCATATGAATATTATCATAAATGGTATACATTGCTTTGTGGTATCTTAGTTCATTGTTGCATCATGAATAAAATGAGAGTTTTATAAAAAAGATACTAGTTTTTTTACAAACTCACAATTCTGGTGGCTGAAAAGACCAGAGGCCTAGTCCTACAGCATGACTTGTGGAAGCACAGAGGATGACAGGCATGTGCAGACAGAGAGAGCTACAGGCAGCTCTATTTATTATAGCAACCAGCTCTCACAAGAGCTAGCCTGTTCTCATGAGACCTAAAATGTTCTGGATCGCGAAACATCATTAATCTATTCACAGTGTTGCTTCCATTATGTCATCACCATGATCCAATCACAACCCACTAGGTCTCACCATCTCTGAACATCAAATTCCAAAGCATGAAACTTTGGAGGACAAACTATCCCCAAACTATAGCAAGTGGCAAGATTTTTTTTAAACACATTTCAAATATTTCTGTATTTTTTATTAGAGAAGGATTTTGTGTTTTTAAAATTGCAGAATGCTATTAGTCAATTTTTTTTTCTTGAAGAACATTTAGGTAGATATAATTTTTCATAAAGCCATAACAAACTTTTCTATAACATAACTCCTTGGACGTGTACTTGTGTCTTTTCCTAAATTAGTGATCTGACATAATAGGCAGGACAGGACATAAGTCACATTTAATGTTAATCAATTATAAAAATGTGCCCATTATAACAGTTGTGTTCATTGGCTATTATAGCTACATGTTTCTCTATCCTCTTTTCAGTATGTCAGAATTTTGGAATGTTTGCCAGTAAATTGTGACCTCTTTGCTTTAATTTTGCATTTCTCTCATCTATAAGTGCGGAACATTTTCATATGTTTGTTGATGATGACATTTCCTCTTTTGTAAACCATTTTCTATTTACTTACTTTTTTACACTTTTTTTATCTTTTTAGTTTTTGAGATGTTTTTAGGATGTGTGTACTCGCCAGAAAGACAGAGAGGGACAGAGAGACAGAAAGCGAGAAATCATCCCCCAGGGGGATGGCCATGCCTCAATCCCTTCTCCTCCAATCTCCTCTCAAAATCTTGGCCACACACTCACATGCACCCGGCATGAGTTTAAGCTACTGGGTCTGGGACTCAAACCGTGGTTGACTACATGGGAGTTCAGTGACAGCCATTACGCCAACTGCTGGTCCCTTACTTATTTATTATGTTATTGAAAAAGTCATGACACGTTTTGCTTAGAAAAACACAGAAAAAGTACATCATGACTTTTCCAATAATCCAATAATAGCTTATTTAGAAAGTCTTTTTGGCCCATGAGCATGCTGCAGGATTTGAGAAGCCTGAGGAATGTGTCACCTTTTTTTCCTAGGCGCATGATTTCTGGTTATAAGGGAGAGAGAATTCTTTTACACTAGTATTTCAAATTATAATTATACTGGGCTCTTAATTTTAAATTTCATGCACTATTATTCAAAGAGGAGTCAGCAGCATCAGCCTCATTGAACAGTTTTAGCTAAGTGCATTTTGTTTCAGGCTCTTTCTGGACTACTAAACCAGAATCTTTAGGGCAGGCTAAGAAAGCTATGTTGTATTTTTTGTTTTGTTTGGTTTTTGCAATTGCACAGATATTTATTTACCTATCTTAGTTAAGAAATCAATCCTTTATTTTGAATATAGTGTCATAATTTGTCAAATAGCTTATAATACCTAACTCTTCTATGATGTCTTACAAATCAGAAGCTCCCAATACTGATCCATGACCTATTGGGAACTGGGTTGCCCAGCAGGAAGTGAGTGGTGGAGAGCAAAGTTTCAGCTGTATTTATAGCCATTTCCCATTGCTGCATTACTGTTTGAGCTCTGCCCCCTGGCAGATCAGTGGTGGCATTAGATTTTCACTGGATCCCCTAGATGGGACCATGTGGTTGCAGAAAAACAAGCTCAGGGCTAGTTCTTCCTTCTGCATTGTGGTGAGTTGTATAATTATTTCACTGTATATCAAAATGTGATAATAATACAAATAAAGTTCACAATAAATGTGATGCACTGAATCATCCCAAACCAACCCTGCCCATCTCTAGTCCATGGAAAAATTGTCTTCCATGAAACCAGTCCCTGCTGCCAAAAAGATAGGGGACCACTGTTATAACTGATGCCTTCTTGAGTTTTAGTTTAACAAGCCCTCAGGTGATTGAGAAATAGTGAACAAGACCATTCAAGGAAGAAAAATAAAGATAGATTAAGATTATGGTTATATTTGTATTCCTATATTACTTAGTAGATTTTTACATTTAAAAATTTTATTCATGCACACAACTTGGATGAATTTCAGAGGATTTATTGTGAGTGAACAGAGCCATTCTCATTTATACCATACAATTCCATTTATATAACATTGTTGATATAACAAAATTAAAGAGGGTGAAGGGTAGTGAGGACCTAGAAGGTATGTGTGGTAATGTAAGTGCACAATAAGGAATCCTTATGCTGATAAACTGTTCTGCATCTTGATTGTGGTGTTGGATACACAAATCTACACATGTGATAAAGTTGCACACACCTCAATAAGTTTAAATAAAACTGGGAAATAAAATAAGATCACTGGGTTGCATGGATGTCAGTATTTTTTGTGTGTATGTGTGATATTATACTTCAGTTTTGCAAGGTGTTACCATTGGCGAAAACTGAGTAAATGTTACAGAGACCTTGTGGTATTACTTATTATATTTAGAAATGAATTTATAATGATTTCAAACTCAAAGAGCTAAATAATGCAGGAAAACTTTTATCTTGCCTCATGACCTACCTACTACAATAACAGATCTCAACTTTATAAATTTTCACTAACACACACACACACACACACACACAAACACACACACACACGCACCACATGGGTTTGCCCAGCCTGTTCAGATTGAGCCAGCATCTGAATCTGTGCCTCCCTAATGGTGCCAGTATTGCCCAGCAGTGCTCTACTACCTGAAGCACCATGTAGATACTGATAGGAAACTGGAAAAATGGCTCATGATTATTGGCACTCTATATTTGGCAAAATGTTCTAGTACTCTTAGTCATAAGTTTAAATAATTAAAAAGCAAATAGTGGGCCATCAGGTGGTGTGGAGGGTAAGGTGCTGGATTCCACATGGCCAATTGGCTGTCTGTGCAGTTTGAGTCTCAGTTTCGGTGACTTGGAAATCACACTGGGCACATGTACATGTACATTCAGGCTCCAAATCCTGAGAGGTGAAAGGAGGAAAAGGGATTGCAGCATGACCGTCACCCTAGAGGTCAATTTCTCACTTTCCCTCTCTTTAGCCCTCTGTCTTTCTCTCTGGCAGACACACATGCCCTATAGCAAAATTAATTAAAAAATAAAAATAAGTAGTAAATATGCTAGATCAAGAGCATTTAACTTACTATTAAAATATTAAATTTAGGTCTAATTCTGCTCAAAACAGTATTGTCGCCAATATTTCAGGCATATATATAGAGAGATATAGATATATAAACATGTATACACATATATTAACTATTTCTAGATTATGATAAGGAGAAAGCTATAAAATAGATGCTAAAAGAAGAAATAGCATGTATTTTAATTTTAAATTGTAGGACTGGGTCCATTTTCATTTGCATGACAATCCTCTTTGGGAAACTAAAAACATAACTAGAAACACATTAGAGAGCAATTTCTGTGAAACAGACATTAAAAGAGTACAAGAAGTTATAATTACAGCTA